AAAATTAATATAGCATAGAAAGTTAAACTTATTTAAATTTGTTTGCTTCTTTTAAGTCGAGAAAAATAACTTTGAAATTTGATTTAGCTTAAATAGCCAATTTTTTCTTCCAACGGTAACAACGTACGGTTGCCGAGTGAGTAAAACTTATCTTTTACACGCTTGGGGTACGAGGTTCCAACCCGCGAATGGTAATGAATTTTTTTAATTTTTTCTTAATTCTATTTAAGTTAGTATAAATTTTTAACTCGTTTGATTTTTATCTCATTTAGATTCAATAACTTCAATAAAGATCAAGGATCCCATCATTTTAGTCGCCCCTTGTAAGAAGAAATTTCTTATTCGTATTAAAATTATTTTACTATATTTTAAGTTTTAGCTTCGATGCAAAGCTGAGAAGATATATTTTTGTGACTATCATTTATTTTCTCTGCTCTAACTTGACCTACTTTTTTCAACGATACGTCAAATTCGTATCTAGTTGAAGATATTATCCTTAAAAATTGAAAAAAAATTCTAATTTATCAATTAAACAGTTAGTTATTACATGTTCTCCATAAAGACAATTAAAATCATTAATTTCTAATGTTTTCAAAATATTTATTAACGAATGAAGTTTGATATGATAGGTTTCAACTACAAAATTAAATCATTTTACTTTGTAATTTAATAATTTTTTTACTCTATTTGTGTGTGCTACTACTAGACTATAATATTACAATTTTTTTTTGTAACATGTTGCTATATAAATCATTTCTAAAAAAAATGATTGTTTTTTCTCCTGAATTAACAATTGATTTTTACAAATATAATCAAATTTTATAATACACTCAATTGAGTAAATCTTTTTAACAACTTTGTTTTGATTGGTACATTTAGTTAAAGTAAATCATTAAAATTAATTAAGTTCTCAATATTTCAATTATAGAATCTTTTCAACAAACAACAAAAGTTCCTAGGAAATTATTACTATTACTTCTATTTAAGTTATCTATTACCATAAAAATGCAAAAAAATATTGAGCTTTTCTGATAAATTTACAATAAATAGTAATTATAAAACTTTCTAACTGCATATTGATCTTAACGATACAATTTTTTTAATTGTCATAAAATTTTCTATTTTATGATGTCAAAGTCAAACTTACCAATTGAGCTAAAAGTTATGGTAAAATAAATTTTTTTTTTTTTTTATAAACATTTACAACAATCAACTTTAAACGATTAACAAAATTGGTTAAATATGTCATTTTCCTTATTTTTAACTTATTAATAATCAAATTAATATTAAATATTATATCAAATCAGTATTAATTTAAAACAATTTTTTTTGTTCTTAATTATTTTTTTTTATATGTAAAAACTATTTTTTAATAATATTAAAACTTAGAAGTTATAGAAAAAGTCTAATTGCACATTTTAAAACATCGCGAAAAGTTGATTTAGAATAGTATATTTTTGTTTCTGATGGAAGTTCCTTGTAGTCCAGTGTATAAAACTTATAACTTTGTTAATTGTTATAACTTTATCAAAAATGACCAAATCAGTATATTTTTTTTTATTTAGATGCATGTCTTTATCTATCATTTGGTTTTTTTTATAAATCTAACCCTTTACCTGCCCACAAGAGGGATTCAAAATATTAACTTTTTTTTTTTTAGTTAAAGTAAATCATTAAAATTAATTCAGTTCTGGATATTTCAATAGTAGAATCTTTTTAAATATCAAAAATTACTTAGAAATGATTACTATGATTTCTATTTAAGTGTTCTATTACGATAAAAATGCAAAAAATAATGAGTTTTTCTGATAAATTTACAATAAATAATAATTATAAAACTTTCTGACTGCATATTAATCTTAAAAATAACATTGTTTTAATTCTCATAAAATTTTCTATTTAATGATTCATTCTAGTCAACGAAGGAGTAATTTTGCAGAATAGCAGAAAAAATTCCCAACAAACTTTTTTTTTTTTTGTTTTAATTAGGCAATTGGTGGATTATTCCAAAAGCAACATCAACTCTTATTTCTTTAATTATATCATGATTAGTAGTTCTTTGATTTTAAAATATAATATTTGAATATATACTAATTATAATTATTAAATTTAGTATGAAATTGATATTTAATATTGTAATTTAAACGGAGAAATTATAAAAATAATAAAGAAGTTATATTTTGCTTTACTTTTACGTGTATAAAAATTTAAAGGGCTTGATACAATAATTTTCAATAAAAACTGTTTGTTACTATAAAAAAATGCACTGGACTACAAGGAACTTTCATCAGAAGCAAAAATATACTTTTCTAAATCAACTTTTCGCGTTGTTTTCAAATCTGCAAGTAGACTATTTCTATCACTTCTAATTTTTTATATTATTACTAATTATATATATAAAATAATAATTAAAAGAAAAAAAAATTTGTTTTCAAATTATTACTGATTTGATTTTTAATATGTTAAAAATAATCAGTCCAAATTTTCAATTTTAACCTATTTTTTTGGTTCTTTAAAGTTGATGAAAAATTTTTGATAAAGATTTATGAAAGTTTATAGTAAAATAAATTGAATATATTACCATAACTTTTAGCTCAATTACAAGTTTAAAATTGACATCTAGGCCAGTCAACAAAGGAAAAATTGCGGAAAAAATTTTGTTTTTTTAAAAGTTGAATTAAAATATGTATAATGACATACTAATAGTCCTCAAGATTGGAATTGAGCTTTTTTTTTAAATCCTCGCAAAAGTTCAAAAATATGAGCTTTCTTAATTTTCTCAAAAAAAAATATTTAACTTACAAAAAAAAGTTTCGCACAAAAGTTGTTTAAAAGACAATTATAAATAAAAATATAATCTTATATTTTTTCATTTAAACAAATATTTTTCGAGTTACATTACATTTAATATGAGTAATAAAATTTATATTCCATTTTTTTCATTTTACGGTTACTTTTTATCATGTTATACTTACATTAGACACAATGTTATAAATGCATATGTGTGTATGTGTGAGTTTATTTATTTATTGTATCATTAAAGTGTAGTGTATATTGAGATACAACCGATAGAGTAGGTAATTGATTTGACGCTATATTATTTAAACCCAACTAAACGCTAAATTGTACATTCCGAAATAACAATCATATTATGTCAATTGCCACCGGAATATCTGGTAATATTTTTCTTTTTCTTTGCCTTAATCCCAACTACTTGGGGTCGGGCACCCTTATCCTAAGATTCCACTTGACACGATCTCCCACATCTTCTACGCTCACATCAGCTGTCCTCAAATCGCATTCAATAGCATCCCTCCATCTCTTTTTTGGTCTTCCTCTATCTCTTCTTCCTTCAACATTCATTTCTATAACTGTTCTTACAGCTTTCGATTCTTCTTTCCTCATACCATGACTAAACAATCTAAGTCTATTTTCTGTCATCTTATCCACGATTGACGCAACACCTATACTTCCTCTTATATGCTCGTTCCTTATCCTATCTTCTCTAGTCACTCCACTCATCCAACTAAGCATTCTCATCTCTGCTACACTTATTCTCTGCTCTACTTTCTTATCAACCGCCCAACACTATTAACCATACATCATAGCTGGCCTCACAATTTCATACTAAATTTAAAAACTATAATTAGTATTTATTCATATATTATATTTTAAAATCAAAGAACTACTAATCAGGATATAATTAAAGAAATAAGAGTTCATGTTGCTTTTAAAATATTTCACCAATTTCTCTAAAGGAAACACTATCTACAGATTTGCATCGAAGCGTTTCTTATGATAGTGATTTTAATCACTGTCAGATATCATCTGTAATTGTCCCATCTATGCCTCGTCCACACTGTACTACCGTTTTTTTTTTTTTTTTTTTAATCTATACACATTATTCATTACAAGAATGTGTATAGATTATAGCCAAATAAATTTTTGTAATTATTATGATTTTGAACTAGTATAATTAAAATAAAAGTGTTATTAATATTGAATATTTATTATCGTGCATTATATAACATTATATGTTACTATGAACAAAAGTACGGTAATATTGGACTAAATTATATGGACTAGTTTTATTTAATAAAAACTATAAAAAATTTATAATGATTTAATAATTTAAACATGCAGTTCAATAACAATTAAACAATTATATGTCAGATAATGAAAACACATATTTAATTTTTTTCTCAATTTTATCAAATAATTTATTTTTATCCGCAAAATCAATTAATGACTTAATAACATTAAAGTCTTGATCTTCAAATAACTTTTTTATATCAATAATAAAATGTTCAGCAGCGCCTAAACTATAATAGTTAACAGTTTCCAACTCTGTTTCGTTGTGAACTGTTTGTATTTGTTTGGAATTTTTAAAGGAATATTCTTTGCCGTCTAATTTCATTTCTTTTAATGCATTGCACCCTAAATCCAAACATAAAGTGTTTAAATATGATTTGAGGAGGTAATCATCAACATCTCTCTGTGTTTCAATTGTGTTTTTTACCTTATAAACAAAATCATCTTCTTTTAAATGTAAATACTTCCCAAACTCAATTAGTATTGCTATCCATTTATCGACCAAACATTCCTTAATAAATTTATTTTTTTGTTTATTAACGTATAAGAAATGTTTCCATGTTAATCTTAACATAATGACTTTTAAGAAGCTAAAAACTGACTCGTAGTATATTTGAATACCATTTAATTTGTTTGTCCCCCAATCAATTCTATGTGCATTTTCATAATTTTCACGCAATTGCAGCATAGTACTTCTTTCGATACCTCCCCAATTAACTTGCACATTGTATCCATTCATTAAAAAATTCATATAGTTTTGATCATCTGAAATATTTCTAATAAAAATATTTTTTTTTGCAAACTTCCTGCAGTTTATTTTAGATAATTCAGTATTTTTCAAAATAAAATTTCTCATGATTTGTGATTTTTTAAACATGTAACTAGATATATCTTTCAATGAGCAATTATTCAATTTTTTTAAATTCCTTTCGTCCACATAAAATTTATTTTTTTCTTTATTACATTTCATGGATGAAATCTCAGATTTTAATGCATCTAATACAATATCATGAGTATCTTTAAGGTATAATTTTAGATGCTCATATATTTGAGATTGATGGAATTTCACAAAAAGGCGACAAACATTGCCTAAATAAATGTTTAATAACCATAAAGAACCCATTTCAACCACTTGTAAACCATAAATCGTACTCATCATATCTTGAATAATATTATAATTACATTGATCTTTATAATATGTTTTTTTATAGTTAAAATTTGGATGATGTATTTCTAATCTAGCTACTTGCATATAGTTTAAAGCGTATAATAAATAGGAACATTTTAAAAGCTTAACATTTTCGACACACTTCAATTGGTTATTCTTGTATCCAGTATCGAGTGCATCACTATGATTCACTTGTAAGAAAAATAACACCACAACTACTTTTAATATCATAGTTGAATTATTGTTTTGAATTAACATTTTAGTGTAACAGACAATAGTAATTATATAAAACTAATTGCAATAAAGTATTAGATACGTGAAATATAATATACGTCACTTTCTCAATAATTATTGAAAACTGCAACTTCTCGGTATTACAATTTTTAAGAAATGTTATTTAGTGAAGAATTAGTTCAAATATAGAAACTAAATTTTGTTTCCATTTACTTTATTCATATATTAATAATCAATGACGTGTTCATGAGTTTTTTAATAAGAGTTTACGTTTTCAACTTAGTCTGATTGTTTTTTGTTCTCTTGTTCTTTGTATGGTACTGAATAACACCTAAATAAATATATATGCATTAAACAAATCCTATTAAAATCGCCGTTGTATTAAATAAATAACTTGAACATTTGTAATTGTCATATATATATTATCGAATAAATACCAAAATTTTTCATAAAATAAAATAAACACTAAAGATATTTTAAAATTGATTTGGCACCGCCCTACGCTATAGGCAGGCGCTCATCCGTGTTTCTCTCGATATCAGACGTGCAACTATTAATATTACAATCATTTGTTTCGGTTGTCTCTCCGCCCTTGACAACGAGATAAGGCCGCCGCCGAGTATGGATTACGGATATTGCGTTCTGTTCCGTTTCCGACGAACACCTTAACTGGTTTGTGCTTGAGTTACGTATTATTTTCCTAGTGAATTAAGCTTTGGTGTTCTTCGTTATCGGTGTAATTAAACTATATCGCGACAAGATATATATACATACTTATAAATATATAATATATTTATATTATAAATGTCTGTGCGGCCGTAGCAGTTGATTACGCATTAACGATATTGTGTCTATATTCTGTACTATCAACTATATTGTGTCAATCTATATACATCTACCTATCTATATATACATCCCTTGTGCGGTCATAGTGGTAGCGTACGTGATAAAATGTATATAAATAAAAATAATAGTGTTCGTTCAATAATTTCTATTTATATGGGATATTTTTTTTTTGTCTATATAAATTATCTTACATTTAATGTTTAGATATTTTATTTTGTGATTTAATTTAATAAATAAATATTTGTATAAAAAGTGTCCTACAATATATTAAATATCTTATAATTTTTAATCAGGAAATAGTGATTTCATAACTGACGGTTTTAGAACCATTCATAGTGGAAATGTGAAAAAAAGAAGAAACGGAGTGGCAGTAATATTACGAGGATATTGGAAAGACAATGTACTCAACTCGTACCACCTAAATACAGATTTCTTATGGTGAAAATAGAAACAAAGCCTACAAACATTTACATTATACAAGTGTACTTCCCTGCATCTAGAAGTACGGACAAAGAAATAGAAGAGACATACGAACAGATTAAAGAACTTGTGCAACTAACAGAATGCAACTCAAACGTATTTATCATATTCAGTTTTAACGCCTCAATAGGTTATGAAAGAAGAAACTTCTCAGGAAAATATGGACTAGGGAAGATAAATGAAAAAGGGACAAGATTGTTAGAGTTTTGTGAACAACAGGAACTGATAGTAACAAATACGTACTTTGAAGTCCCGCTAAGGAGAAAATATACATGAAAAGCGCCTAAAGATAGAAATCTGTATCAAATAAATTCCATACTCGTAAAAACTAAGTTCAGAAATCAGATCAAATCTAGTTATGCCTACCCAGTATATGACATCGATAGTGATCATAATCTTGTAATGGCACAATGCAACATCAAATTTAAAAAAAGAACTAAAGTAACAAAAATTGTGCGTTGAAAAACTAAAATAGAACCGAAGAAAGTCATGGATGACTAGACAAATTATTGAATTGATTTAAAGAAGGAACAAATTAAGGAACTGAGATTACAATTTATAAAAGCAGATAAAAAACGAAGTATTAACAAAATACCGTCTACCAAAAGAATGTTAGCTAAATCACAACACACAAGAAATAGAACGTTATCTACTAAGAAACAATACAGGGAAAGCCTATAATAAAATTTAAAAACTGCAATATAAACCCAAGAAATCCAACAACATAGTTAAATATAAACATAGCAAAATTATTTTAAAAAATGAAAAGGTACTAGAGAAGTGGAAAATGTATATGGAAGAATTATATGAGGGAAATGAGGAGATCGAAAATGAATTGGTATTTTGAGGGCTACAAAGTTAGAAATTTTATAAAAATACACGTATTCTAGATGCATTATTTCTGTTGGGAAAACCTAATTTCAAAAAAATTGATTTTAATTTTTTAGCTATATATTTATTTAATAAACCACAAAAAATTGAAGTTTGAGAAAAAAGTGTAACATGTAAAATATAGCATTAGAAAATCAGTAAAGAACCGCTACAAATTGACATAATTTAATGATAGCATTATGTTGTTTTGAAATCACATTTTTTTTTGTAATTGTTTTGAATATTATTATATATTTAATATATTACAATTCAATATTATTATTATATGTGTTATTATAATTAAATTTATTATTTTATTTGCAAAATAAAAAAGTTAATTAATTGAATTATTATGACAATATTGTAAAATATTTAAAAAATAACATTGGTTTTATTCTAGTAGTTAGAATATTGTGTCTTCATAAATATTAGATAATTATATCTTGAGGCTTTTTGTGGTCCTGTTATGAATTGGTACAAATTTGTGTTTTTCCCTAGTGCCGAGAATAGATTTTAATAATTTTAACTGAGCTGTTAATNTACACTTAAAAAGTGGTAAAAACTAATACGGATACTATGAATATAAACAAACTAAATTAAAGAAAATACAAGATAATTTAAGTTGAAAAATGAATGACTGTCACTAAAACGAAACTGATAACTATGGACACTTAATTATATCATCTATAATAAAAAACAGAGGAATGAATTGGCTTGTTTATTAACTAAGAGGAATCTTTGAATTTCATCCTGTACTACAAAATTATACTTTGCTTGTAAAATGTAGCTTTGAAAGATTTGGTTTTGACCAAATATAAACGTCAATCGATACTCAGTTAAGTCTAGTACAAAGAATGATGTAGGGATAATAATGGATGAGAAGACGAAAAGTAAAGTAGTAGAAGTAGCTAGGAAAAGTGACAGAATTATAGTCGAAAAATTGATATTCGAGGAAAAAGTGCTGAATGTAATAAGTGCCTATGCACCACAAGTAGGATGTGATGAAATAGATAAGCAAGTGTTATGGAGAAAGAATGAGGTGATGCAAGGGGTACCTGACAATGAGGATGCGGTGACAGGTGGAGATATGAATGGACATGTAGGTAATGACAGGAGAGGATATGAAAGAGTACATGGAAGGTACTGTTTTAGTTGGAAGAATGAGGCTAGAGAAAGAATCCTGGATTTCGCAGTATCGTATGATCTTGCTATGGTTAATACTTATTTTAGAAAGAAGGAAGATAATTATATAACTTATAATAGTGGGAGGAATAGATGACAGGTCAATGTGGAGAGAGTGAGCATAAAGCAAGTAAAAGATTGTAAATTTATACCAGGCGAGAGTGTAACTACACAACATAGACTGATGGTAATGGAGTTGTGGTGTACCGGAAAGAGAATAAACAAAAATAGAAGAAACCCAAGGGAAAAATCGAAGATCCAATGGTGAAAATTGAAAGGGGAAAATTAAAAAGAGTTTGTAAAGACGGTAATAGAGAGGACGGTGTGTAATGTCCAGAGAAAAGTGTTGATAATAAAGTACTCTCGAGTGATGATGATGTGAAAAAAAGGTGGAAAGAGTATTTTGAAAAAATATTGAATGAGGAATACGCAAAAGAGACATTAGAGGATATCTCATGGAATGGGAAAAATAGGGAGGAAATTAATCAAAGACTAGAGGTGTGTCGATCAATAGAAGTAAAACAGAGTATATAGTGTACGAGTTTGACAAAGGAGAACACGAGGTAGGTGAAATGAGGAGGTTAGTGACAATAGGCGAGAACGTGATTGGAGAGGTAGAGAGTTTTAAATATTTAGGGTCAGTTGTG